GTTGGTTGGTTGACCAGTGGGTCCGGTCCTCCTTGTGGCGGGGCGTAATCCTCATTGGTTCCTCCACCTGAGCCATTCAGTAAGCCTTCAAAGTGTTGTGCCCATCTCTCTAGTACTCTACTGCTCTCTGTGATCAATTCTCCATCCGTGCTTTCACACATGTGTGATCTTGCTTGAAAGCCATTCTTTTCCTGCTTTATCTTCAGGTACATTCCCCTCACATCTCTTTCTTTTGCCAACTCTTCTATCTCTACTATTTTTTATTTTTCCCAAACACGTTTTTTCTTTCTGCAAATTTTGCTGGCCACCCTTCTTGCTTCATTATATAATTGTCGTGTTCTTCTTGTTTCCCTTTGCAGCATCATTAGCCGAGCTTTGTTTCTTTGTTCTATAAGTTCTTTGCATTCTGCGTCATACCATCCTGTTCTTTTCACTGCTGGTTTAAATCCAATCGTTTCCTCTGTTACACTTGTGACTATTTGCTTCATCTTTTCCCATTGCTGGTTTATATCAACGTTGCTGGCTGATTCTCTTTTGGATAATTCTAGTAGAGTTTCAATCTTCTGTTGATATTCCTCAGTAATTTTTGGGTCCCTACTCAGTTTCTGACTATTGTACTGTTTTTCTCTTTTATTTTGTTTATTGTGGATGTTACAAATTCTTTGCTTATATTTGATTCTAACAAGCATGTGGTCTGAGTCTATGTCCGCCCCTCTACAACTTTTCACATCTGATATGTCCGAGCCATGCCTCCGGTCGATGAGTACGTGGTCTATTTGATTACGGGTAAATCCATCTGGAGATATCCATGTCGCTTTATGTATTTGTTTATGTTGGAATACTGTGCTACTGATTATCATTCCTTTTCCCAGAGGCAAAGTCTATAAGACGTATTCCGTTGTCATTGCTCTCATCATGCATAATTTCCTTTCCGATTGTTGGTCTGTAGACTAGTTCTTTCCTAATTTTCGCATTGAAATCGCGAAGGACTATTTTGATATCATGGCGTGGAGCCTCATCAAATATTCTTTCCAGTGTTTCGTAGAAAGTTTCCTCCAAGCTTTCATCTGTATCTTCCGTTGGAGCATGAGTGCAGATTAACGTGATGTTAAACATTTTTTCTCTAATCCTTATGGAGCATAATCTTTCACTCACTGGTTTAAACCCAATGACTGCATTTAATGTCTTTCTTTTGCCTGCAAACCCTGTTCCTAAGGTATTTGTGTTGTTTCCACTGTAGAATATTGTATATTCCTTTGTATTTAGGATATCTGAGTCTTTCCATCTAATCTCATGTAGTGCCGCAATCACGATTCTATATCTAAGTAATTCCTCACTGAGGCGGGCCAAGGCACCTGCTCTGTATAAACTGAGTACATTCCAAGTCGCTATCCAAATGTTATGTGTGTGGTCAGGCATGGGTCGAAATCCATAAATATCAGTCCGTTTTTGTGATTGTGGTTTTACTTTCGTAACATTAGCTTTTTTACGTGACAGGGTCGTCAGCCCTGCGCACAACCGTCTGGGGGGATGCCCCTTGCAGCTCTCAGGGTAGCTGCCTTTCTATTGGGTCGGGTCCCTAGCCTTTGTGGATCCCTCCACTTCCTACAAGGCAGTAGGTACTGATTTTGGTCCGCCCCGGGTATTTTATTTCCCTGGTACCCTCCATATCTGGTGGGCTTTCCCCTATCCGCCACCTGGGGAGGCGCTCGATGGAAGATCAGTATCTCCTCACGAGCATTAGGGGATCAATGACATGTTTTTTAAAAAATTAAAAAAAAAAAAGGTTTAAATTTAAAAATCTTTAAAAAATTTTATGCTTTAATTTTCCCTTGTGTTGCATGGGTGATTTTTAGTAAAATCATAGTTTAAGGAAAAAAACTGAATTCATTCATATAAAGAGCCACTTTAATGCTGCAGGTTACTGAACGTGCGCTCACACATATTGATAAATATAAACAAAAGTTCTGCATAGTTGTGCCTGCTTGACATGAGCACCTACTTGGGATATTCCTGTCAGCTAGAGATAGCAAAAATCAACAAATATCAGAGGAATCTCAACATGGATTCCCCTACTGGGCTTTGTGGCTTCAAACAAATCTTCAGCGTGAACATACCTTTAGAGAGTATTATATTTTACCCCACTCTCCCAACTAACACATTCTGTATATGAAAATCTTTTTAATATGGTCTGGCAACAATAAATTGTGAGCTTTTGAATTTTTTTATAAAGCTTATGATCTCTCATGATACAGGGCCATGAAGATATTCTCCCCATTCTTGGTCTGAACCCCATTCTAGTTTTACA